TTGATTAATCTAAGGAGTAAAAATCAAAATCACATCTTCCTTTTTCAGTGTTGAGGGAGACAGATTGGAGTGCTTGGACTTGGGTACTTCACTTGCCACCAAGAATGGGAGTGTAGAAGTCTCTCAGTGGCTTAGACTTTGGGGAAATACTGTTTTTTCCACTCAGAACATACTTTAAAACCCCAAATTTCAAGATGGTTTTATTCTCTCCACCCCAATTGCAGAAGTATGAAGCAGTTTTACTCTGATTATCACTGTGAGATCCTGGCAAGTGCTGGTCCAGGTAAAACTTAAACTTTTAGGATGTCTAAAACCTACCCCAGGATTTCCTACCTTTAAAACTTCACCTTGTTCATCAGGAAACTGAACATATTCTTACCTTTGTTTTGTTTCTGAGTTTCTTCAGAGTGATGTACACTTCTGTAGGTCTACCTCCTCATTCTCCTTGTAGTATTCAGGGGTTGCTGATTGAAGTCAGTTTGCTCTTTGTTATTGAGAAAAAAACATTCTTTTTATTTGCTGTAGTGTGCAACCACTCCTGTGCACAGAATGAGAAAAATCACTGGGAGACAACATTTGCTTCAATCAGAGAACTCAGAGGGCTGCTTCTTGGGCATAAGAAAGCCTCAGAGAAACAGAAACTAACTGAGAGATCCACAGATTTTTATTTGTAATTCAAGCACATGAGAACAAAGACGTAGAAGAAAAGCATTTTGCTATATACCGAATAAGAGTTTTTGTCGGGACAGGGCCGAATGGGATGGTTTGTTATGTGATACATGGTTGATCTAATTTAAACAGTCTTATTGGGGCAGAGGGAACACTTTGGCCTAAACCATACATCTCTGTATTAACTTGTTCTTAATTTTGCTGACTTGTCGTGCAGATTGGGCTCTGCATTCTAACCCTGCATTCCAGGTGCACAGAAAACGTTGTTCCCTAAGGTCTCTTCCTTGTCTCACTCAGATTCAGTCACACCTTTGGCCAGTGTCTCCCCACATCTGTGTTTTTTCAGCTGAACTGGAAAGTGGAATTCTGTATATTCACTCTTTGATTTATAGTGACAGTCTTTAACCTCAGCACTCCTTGCATTTGTGTCCCAATTAAAGATAACACGATAAAAAGCCTAGGCATTCACATCTTTGGATCTGGCAGATGCTTAGTCAAACCTCTGTTTATGGGAGTGAATTCTCACTGTGAGTTCCCTGTTACCTGTGAGACCAAGCTGCTTTCTTCATTTTGTGAAGATATTTAGTTCATGATTAAGAGTTCAGCCCTACTATGCTTGAGTTCTCAATGACTTAAGTAACATTGTTTTGCATGTCCTCTTGGTTTTCTGTGCCATGTTTTCACAAGTGTGACTATAAAAACCATTCTTCTCAGAGATAGCATAGGGTTATGCAGTGTAAGTAGGATGTGTACTCATTAATCATTGTGAATGTTTGTCATTTCCTTCTCTGACTTTCTGACCTATACTCCTAATGGCCAGCATGTGTCACTCTTGTTTACTATTTGTTGATCATTATTAAACATTTTAAAATACCAAACAGTTACAATTTTTGAAAAATCAAAGGTGTGATTTCAATGTGAGAAAAACTATTCTTTAGTTTTTACTTTTATTATTGGTGACTTAATTTTGTAAAATGTTGTTTCTTATACATATTGTATGTTTTGATTATATCTATTTCTTAATTTTTCTCTAATCTGTGTTAGAAATGTTTTTACCTGTCACAGATGACTGTTTCATATCCTTGAGCTGTAAGATCATGTCTTGCTTTAATTTTTAGTAGGTAATTATTCTTAGACATTTTCCTCTGAAAACAGTAATACTTTATTAATATTTTAAGTTATAATTCATTAATTTTCCATAGGGTTCAATTTTAAGTTTTTGCCTATGAAACTAGGTTGACATTTCAATATGTTGTCTAAATACAGAGAAGGTAGGGCTCAACTACCTAATAATAAGTTGCTAAAAGAAACATTTCCTTTTTGCTGGATTTTAAAAATGTAATTACTTTTATTGGTATAAATAGATATACATAATAGTCACATTTACTATAGGGAATTTGTACCTGTACATGATATATCTTGATTCCTCTTTTTTCTCCATGCCCCTCCTCCCTTCAACCCCTCGTCCTTCCCTTATTCACAAAGCTTTGTTTCCATTTCATCTTTTTTTAAAATCATTTTTTGTTTTCCTTTCTTTCCTTCCGCTCCCTAGTGCCTTTTTCCTTTTGAACAGTTACTTCCTATTTCACGATAGCTATTGTACATTTTGGTTCTTATTTATACTTTCCTTTTTTCACATCAGAGATAATACAATATTATCTCGGACATATGTGTCCAATTTATTTCACTTATGAATATGGTCTCAAAGTCCACTCATTTAGCTTTTTTTTTTTTAATTTTTATTTTTAAAATTTTTTTCCGGTACCGGGAACCGAACTCACAACCTTGCACTTGCCAGGCAGGCGCTGTGCCCCTGAGCTGAATCACCAGCCCCTCGTTTAGTTTTAAATGTCTGACATTTATCTTTCTTTATTGCTGAGTTACACTCCATCATATTGAAAAATCACATCTTTTTGTACACTCATCAGTTGATGGGCATTTGGGTTGTTCCCAAACTTTAGCTGTTATAAATTGTGCTGCTATAAACCTGGATGCATTTGTATTGCTGCGTTAAAATGCTTTTAATTCTTTTGGGAAGCTACCAAGAAGGTGAATAGCTGATTCCAATGGGACCTCTAATCCTAGTTTTTTGAGAAATCTCCACACTGATTTCCACAGTAGTTGCACAGGTCTGTACTCCCAGCAACAGTGGAAGAGCATTCCTTTTTCCACACTACCCCACCAGCATTTGTTATAGGTTGATTTCTTGATAATAGCCATACTCTCGGGAGTGAGGTGGACTCTGGGCTTTAATTTTCATCTCTCAAATGAGCAATGATGTTGAACATGGGGCTGGGGATTTAGCTCAGCGGCAAAGCGCCTGCCTGGCAAGCGCAAGGTCGTGAGTTCGGTTCAAGGTACCGGAGAAAAACCAAAACCAAAAAAAAAAATGATGTTGAACAGTTTTTTTCGTATATTTATTTGCCATTTGTAATTCTTTTGAGAAGTGTCTGTTCATCTCAGATGCCCATTTTTGGATTGGGTCTTGAATTAGGGGGATCTGAATTTTTTAAAGTTCTTTATATGTTGTTCTAGATATTAGTCCTTTGTCTGAGGAACAACTGATTAAATTTTTTTTCCACTGTGGGGTGTCTTTTGACTTTGGTGATTTCTTTTTCTGTGCAAAAGCTTTTAAGCTGAAATCCCCATTGTTGACTCTTTGTAATATTTCTCAGGCATTCGGGGTTTTGTTCATGAAGTCTTTGCCTACACCTATATCTTCAAGTGTTTTACCTAATTCAATCTTCCAGCAGAGTTAGTATTTTTGGTTTAGTATTTAGATCTTTGATCCATTTGGATTTTAGTTTAGTGCATGGCAATAGACATCAGTCTAGTTTTAGTCTTTGGCATGTGACAACCAGTTTTTCCAGCACCATTTTTTTTTTTTTTTTTTTTGGTGGTACCAGAGATCAAACTCAGGACCTTGCACTTGCCAGGCAGGCGCTTGTGCCACTGAGCTGTATCTCCAGCCTCCAGCAGTATTTTTTAAAAGGCTTTTTTCTAGTGAAGGAGTTTGGCCCCTTTGTCAAAGATAAAGTGGCTGAGTGTGTCTGCAGTTCTTTCCATATATTCTGATCTGTTCCATTGATTGTAAGATCTGTTTTTTCCAGTACCGTGCTGTTTTCATCACAGTAGCTCAGTAGTTAACTTCAAATCAGGGATCATGATGCCCGCTGCCTGGCCTTTGTTGCCCAGTGTTGCCTTTGCTATTCAAGGTCCCTTCTGCTTCTAAATGACTTTTAGGAATGTTTTCTCTAATACTGTGAACTATGCTAATGGTATTTTGATTGGGATTGCATTAAATCTGTGTAGTGGTTTTGGGAGTATGGCCTTTTTCACTATGTTGGTTCTTCCTATCCATTAGCAAGGGATATCTTTCCATTTTCTGGTATCTCTTCAATCTCCTTTTTCAGAGTACTATAGTTCTCAGTGTAGAGGTTTTTTACTTCCTTTGTTAGATTGATTCCTAAGTATTTCATTTTCTTTAATGCTATTGTGGAAGATGTTGTTTCCCTGACTCCTGTCTCAGTTTTGTTATTTATGTACAGGAATACTATTGATTTTTGAGTGTTAACTTTGTACCCAGCTATGCTACTGAATCTGGTTATTGAATCTAAAAATCTTTTGGTAGCTTTTTTGAATCTTTTATGTAGAATATTATGTCACCTGCAAATAATGATAATTTGACTTATTCCTTTGCTATCTTTATTCCTTTTATTTCTTTCTCTGGTACAAGGAATTGAACTCATATCCTTGCACTTGCTGGGCAAGCACTGTGGCACTGAGCTATGTCTCTGGCCTTCTTCCTTTTATTTTTTTCTCTTGTCTAGTTTCAAGAGATCAATGATCTGTCAGAGAAATTCGTTAGATTTTTATCTACTGTAGTGTTTTCATTTGTATGTTAATCTTGTAGGCTCCCTATATGAACCATGCTTTAGCAATAATGTAGAAATGAACTGGAGTTAACAAGGAGAGGAAGGGGCTGGGGATTTAGCTCAGCAGCAAAGCACCTGCCTGGCAAGTGCAAGGTCGTGAGTTTGATTCCTGGTACCGGAAGAAAAACGAAAAACAAACCAAAAAAAACAACAAAAAACAACAAGGAGAGAAACCAGTGTTTCTATTCTGCTATTGCTTTACCAATAAATTCTATCCTCAAATAAAAATTCCTATGTGAAACATTCATGTGAATGTAGAATAAGTGATTGATGAACAAGATATGAAGTAAGCATTTTGAGGACTCAGCCTCATTTCAGCTTTTTATGAGTAGACTTGAGATGCTTCATGTTGTGAATCTCACTCTTCTTTTTGGAAATCTGTGTCTGATGATTTAGGAGGCAGTGACCTTCGAGGATGTTGCTGTGAGGTTCACTATGGAGGAGTGGGCTTTGCTGGACCCATCCCAAAAGAAGCTCTACAGAGATGTGATGTGGGAAACCTTTAGGAATGTGTCTGCTGTAGGTAAGGACTCAATCATTGTCTCATTTATGAAATCAGAGAGCATTGGTTGTTGTGCATTAGTGCAGTTTCCTTCATTGAAAAATGGAAACATTGGGGCTGGGGATTTAGCTCAGC